GCTCAGCATCCCAGAGCCGTTAATGACTTTACCACCTTGAGAGGGATGACTTCCTTGCATATAAATGAGGTTCTGGACCACTTTATTTTTACAGCGTCCCCATTGGCCTTTAAATTTTAGAGCTTTTGAGGAGGTCAGTGTGTGGCTCACACGGGTTCCCGGGCAAACATCCTGCCCTTAGAGGGGCTGTCCAACAGGAGGGCCGGGGGGGGGGGGGGGGCGGTGACTGGGCAGGAAGATGGCCATACAGCAGGCCACCCCATTAGTATTTCAGCTCAGTCCATTTCTTTCTTTGCAAATTAAAGCAACTAATTTTGCAAACTGTGGTTTCTCCCTGATTCCTGAGTGTGGCATCCTGCTGCAAGATTAAAGCTGTTTCCACACCTGCCCCAGGGCCGGCCTGTGATCCGACTCCACTGCCCCACTCGGCCTGGGGCCCCACGACCCCTCGGGCCCTGTGTGCAGCTCAGGGCCACTCGTTTGCCTCCTGGCAAAGCCGCAGGAGGAAGTCAAAGACAGGCAGCCCGCCAGCTCCCTGCAAGTGGCTTTAATGTGTGACAGTGGTGACAGCACCAGGAGGGCTCTTTTCTCGTTTTCATTGTTAAATCTTAATAATCTGACTCTGTGGTTCAAAATTTGGGAACTATCTGAGGACCAAATCCAGGGGCTGTGGACTGCTCTCCCCCTCCCCCCCCCCAACTCAGTGCCAAAGATGATCCTTCGAACGTAATTAACATATACAAGTGCAAAGCCCCATTTTCTACGGTTGGCTCTGGGAGAACAGGTACATTCATTAAGCAGCCTGGGCACGTCTGGGCTGGTGGGAGGGATGAGAGAATGATGAAGATGGCGTCTTTGTCATGAAGAGTGTCTAGTGCAGCAGTGAGGCTCCTACCGTGAGTTCTGGCAGGAGCTGATTCCAACCATCATCAGTCGGGCAAGCCTGGAGGGACCAGCGGTGTAGGTTAGGGACGAAGGAGAGAGCTACACTTGAGGGGAAAGAAGGAAAAGGTCAGAAGCTACCTGTGCTTTTATCCAGAACAATGTTCTTAAATGGGGATGATTTTGCACACACACACACCACCCCCCTCCCCAGGACATTTGGGATGTCGGGACACATTTCTATTGTCTTGGGGAGGGGGTGCTACTGCACCTTGTGTTCAGAGGCAGGGCTCGGCCAGAACTTCGTCAAAGGCCCAGCGCCCACAGCAAAGACTTCCTCAGACCAACATGCCTGCAGCGCCGGATCTGATCTATTAGATTTCCAAACCAACAAAGAGGCGATAGGCAAGAGTGCCACCCACATACCTGGGGCTTACGTGTGACAGTTTCCGCCCCAGCTCCCCGTCAGGAAAAGAGACTGCCTTCCAGGCCCTTCTTCATGGACCCTCTCCTGCCACCTGCTGGTAAAGACCGTGTACATTCAGTACCAAATACACTTTAAAAGGGAACCGCAGTTACAATTCCTTCTGGGCTCACTGAGCAGGACGAGGGCGCTCACTGCCTTGGAGACAACAGAAGCAAAGCATCGTGACATCTTTGTGCTTTTACATCTATTTTTGGCGCGGTTTCACTTTTCTGTCTTTCCCTCCCGACCACTTTGAAACATGCGTCCCTTGGCTCGGCACGGCCTCTAAGGGACCCGGCTCTGCCTGTGACACGGGCTGCCTCTGTCCTCACGTTCCTGTGAGGGTTAACGACCATCCACGGTAGCAGACACCAGTTTCCACATGCAGTTCCACCACAAACTAGCGGTGTTAGCGGGGAACACACACATCGTCGCTGTTTCTTATCTGCTGAACTTTATTCACACGCACACCGAAAGCCCAGCCCCTGGCAGACCCCGAGGTGGGGATGGACAATGGGAGAGAGACAGGCCTTGCGTCACAGGTGATGAAAGCACCCCCGAAGCTCAGGAACAGAGGCACTGAATTGATGGCTTACTCGTGCCCAGGAGAGCCAGGCTGGTCCGGCGCAGCCTCCCGGAGCAGAGCGGCCTGCTGACCTCCAATGGCATTTGGGGGAAGAGTGGAGCTCCCCCGGGGGGGGCCTCTGAGGTGTGAGGGGTCTATTGTCTGGTGAGCAGCTTTGTTGGTTGGCTGTTGCTCCGGTGGGAGTGGATTAGAGGGTGCCTCCGAGGTTGCCAGACTTTCAGAAGTGAGGGGCTGCCACTGACAGGTGGGCTTGCAAAACTGTCCTTGAGATGAATTGTTCTTGATCAACAGAGTTTCAGACGGGCTCTGGGCTACAGAGCACCCGGTCTGGCCCTCAATTTGTAGGGACACTTAGTTCTCAATCCCCCACTCTTGGTACTCATTCAGCCAAAGCTTCAAGGGGGACCCCCAAGCTCTGTCTGACCTCCATCGCTGCTTTGGGCTCTCCTTGCAGATGAAGTTTTGTCTGTGGAGACCTGGCGCTCAGGGAGCAGCTCGAGTCGCGTGATTGTGAACCGCTGGCCAGGCAGGGCCAGGCCCGCCTCGATGGGCAGTTAACGTGCATTACTTGAAGCTCTGATGCTCTCCGCAGGAAGTTCAGTTGAGCTCTGAACAAGACATTGAACAACTCTGAGACAAACCACAGGTGTTATAAGAAGCGCCTGGAAGATCTCCCAAGGTAGGAGCCAGGGTCTCCAGTCCTGATCCAGAAGGCAAGTCCCAAAGATTCCAGCGTCCATCTGTCCATCCGGGGCAGCCAGGTTGCCTTTTCTTTTGCTTCAAAGGAGATTGTTTTGCCTCATTTGTGGTGTTAATGGAGGGAGGGAGCATGAAGTGTTAGCTGTGGGGTAGACTCCTCCCTGATTGGCCCAAGGAAAAGCTCTTCGCCAAGACCACTTGGGTTAAGCTATTTAAACCTACGCCCAGAGCTCAAGCTACATAAACATAATCTACTCCCAACCTTTGTTCTTTTACATCGAAACCTGACTCTCATGGGTGGCCAATCTCCCCAGGAGCCCTTCCCCTGAAGAATTTTTATCTCTGTGCACTCTAGTAAGGAGACAGAGGCCTTTGAGGGCACTGGGGAGTTAGTTCTTGGAATGGCCCAGCTCCTGGTCCTACTGAACACAGAGTCTTGGCTCTGGAAAAACACAGAAAAGCCTGATTCCAACACAGAATAAAGAAACTGGAACAAGAGAGGCGATCCACTCGGGGTCATGGCAGGGCGCTGTCTGCGCGGACCGTCACGACAGTCTCCTCTTCATGGGTCATCTGCTCCTGCCAAGGCGCTTGGTGTAACGGCCAGCACCCATGCTGCTTTGCTGCCATCCCCCGAAGAACCTCGGCTCAGGGCTCTTTCGGAGGCATCAAAGCACCAAGTGACATGCACTCATGGTCATTGTTTAAAGAACACCTGGCGATGAGTTTCCATAGCAAGTAAAGAAGTGAATCTTTCTGAAACACACCGATTATTAGTTTTTGTGCCTGTCTTCTATTTTAGCAATTTTATATGTTTAGTCATTGAGCAACCTGGCTTTCTGTTAAAAAAAAAATTGGATTTTAGCCCTAGCTGGTTTGGCTCAGTGGATAGAGCCTGGGGACTGAAGCGTCCTGGGTTTGGTTCAGGTCAAGGGCACATGCCCGGGTTGTGGGCTCAATCCCCAGAAGGGGGTGTGCAGGAAGCAGCCGATCAATGATTCACTTTCATCATTGATGTTTCTATCTCTCTCTCCCTCTCCCTTTCTCTCTGAAATCAATCCTATATAATAAAAGCCTAATATGCTAAGTGTCCAGTCAACCAGTTGGTTGTTTAACCAATCAAAGCATAATATGCTAATGATATGCTAAGGCCGCTCAACTGCTCGCTATGACATGCACTGACCACCAGGGGGCAGATGCTCTGACTGGTAGGTTAGCTTGCTGCTGGGATCTGGCCAATTGGGACTGAGCAAGATGGGCTGGACATGCCCTGGAGCTTTCCTGCAGTCTCTCACCAGCCCGATCATGCACTGGTGGGGTCCCTCAGCCTTGCCTGTGCCCTCTTGCAATCTGGGACCCCTCGGGGGATGTCAGAGAGCCAGTTTCGGCCTGTTCCCACCGTGGGAGTGCCGCTTAGCCAGAAGCTGGGCTCACGGCTGGCGAGCACAGCGGAGGTGGTGGGAGTCTCTCCCACCTCCGCAGCAGTGCTAAGGATGTCTGACTGATGACTTAGGCCCACTCCCCACAGAGAGTAGGCCTAAGCCAGCAGTTGGACATCCCCTGAGGGCTACCAGACTGTGAGAGGGTGCACGCCAGGCTGAGGGACCATCCCCCGAGTGCATGAATTTCATGCACTGGGCCTCTAGTAAATATATGTATATTTTAAATTGGATTTTATCAGAGAGATTGGACAAGTGATATATCCAATTTGGTATTATCCCTTTTGCTTTTAACATAATACAACAAACCATAGTAAGGTTGGATTTGGTACCAGGGTATCAATGTTCTGTTTGGGGCAGAGACACTTCTTCAATTACAGAGACACAATCATGATATTCCCCCCACGGGCTAAGGATTATACAGTGAGTCACATGCTCTTCGACTGGTGGATGAGCAATAGGAGAAGGAGGGAGTGACGACGGTTCACAATGAACCGGCTAGTAGAAAATGGTGGTGGTTTCTGTTAGCACCTGTATGGCAACATACAATTTAAAGTATTAACATAGGTTCCGAGGATGTGCTGACTTAGTGAACTGAGGCCTGGCATTCTCTGAGGCAAGGAGGCGAAGCCACGACGACTGGCTGTTACGGCGCAGGCTTCAGCAGGCAGTTCTGTGCCAGGTGTCACATGGTCAAGTTAACCCACCTAGAGCCTGGCCCGAAATGGTCATATTTGTACAAAAAGGCAGATTCACGCCTCAGCCAATTCGGCTCAGTGGATAGAGCATCGGCCTGTGGACTGAAGGGTCCCAGGATCTATTCTGGTCAAGGGCACATGCCCAGGTTGTGGGCTCAATCCCCAGTAGGGGCATGCAGGAGGCAGCCAATCAATGGTTTTTTCTCATCACTGATGTTTCTATCTCTCTCTTCTTCTCCCTTCCTCTCTGAAATAAATTTATATATATATATATATATATATATATATATATATGTGTGTGTGTGTGTGTGTGTGTGTGTGTGTGTGTGTGTGTGTGTGTTGTTAAAGGCAGATTCATGATAACACAGGGAGAATAAGTCTGTGCTCTTGTGCATTTTGCTCCAATTTGTCTTTCTGTCTGTGGACTCTAGGACCACTGCTTTTTCTCCAGTGATGTCTGAATTATACACAATGTAGGTATCCTTGTGTACCGATCGGCTAATGTGGTCATGTCTCAGAACAGTGGCACTTCCTGTATGGAAGCAGAGCCCACAATCATGATATCCCCCCACGGGCTAAGAGAAGTACGTGTGCTACAGAAACGCAGAGTAGTCTTCTCATAGTGATCTGGAAATAGCTGCAAGGTGGTGTAGGATTGTTCAAGATTTTCTCTGCTTCAAGTTTTCTATTAAATAAAATTGTCTTTTCCTCAAGTCTTTTAAAATACACTCTGTAGTCACAAATTGGTCCTTCATTATCTTCTTTCACCATCTGCTATAATCAATCTTTTTAAAAGAAATGTCTTCTGTTTGGATTTTGTTTTTTGAACTTATTACAAGTTAATTTGCTTGTTTCCCCGTTGGACACCTGAAGTTGCAGGCTGACGGGCCTTCTGTTCTGTAATCGTGGGGGTGGTGGTGGGTGCAACAGCACCCAAACAAACAGAGCGCTGGATTGTAATCCATCTCAATCTAGACAATTCCCCTTGGACGTTTAGAGGGACAGGGACTTGCTGGCCCTTCACGAAGCTTCTGCTTACCTTTTCCAGAGGGTCCCTGCTCAGGAGCCCCAGATGCTGTTCACCGCCCGCCACAACACCGTCACCTTCCAGGCAGAAGGGGACACGTGGAGGGAGCAGAAGGAGCAGAGAGCCGCCGTGATGGTGGGCACTCTCATCGGGGTGTTTGCCATCTGCTGGCTCCCCTTCTTCACCACGGAGCTCGTCAGCCCCCTCTGCGCCTGCGACCCCCCTGCCCTCTGGAAGAGCATCTTCCTTTGGCTCGGCTACTCCAACTCCTTCTTCAACCCCCTGATCTACACGGCCTTCAACAAGAGCTACAGCAACGCCGTCAGGAGCTTCTTCTGTAGGCAGCACTGAGTCCCAGGACCTGGGATTAAAAAGGGCTAATTCCATAACTCAGTGAAATCTTCAGTGTGGCCTGCGTCCCCATCCCCAGCTGGCGGCACACAGCCTAGACCAGCCCCTCAGTTCTCCCGTGGCCTTCAAAGCCCCCTTCTCCGTCCCAGCCAGGAAGGCCGCCGGGCTGATGTGGTGACCTCTTTATCTCATAGATCTACTCTTTCTCATTCTGCACCTAATAGCTACCTTGCCCACTAAGTGCCCTTTCCTCTCCCAAATCCAGCATGGCCGTCATCCTCATGCCTGAGAAGTCAAACATGGCACATGCAAGGGAGGAAATAAAATAATATGGGCAGGTTGAGAAGGAATATGAAAAATGAGTAAGAAGTTATAATGGGGACCTGGCGGGGGGGGGTGTAGGAAACCACCATTCCAAGTATGAAATGGTCCCTATTTCAAATTTTTCTTACCATGGTCCTGATGGTGCACCCTAATATTTATTGTGTGTCCCAATATTTGACTGCAAAATACTGCCTCTAATCATAATAAAGCCCATAACTGTGTCTGCAAGACCAGTGAGTATTGACTCCTTGGTTTCGTTTGTTTTTAATCCTCACCCGAGGATGTTTTCATTGATTTTAGAGAAAGAAGGAAAAAGGCTAGAGAGAGAGGAGAGAGAAACATTGATGGGAGAATCATCGATCAGTTGCCTTCCAGAGATCGACTGGGGATGGAACCTGAAACCCAGGTATGTGCTGTGACCAGGAATCAGATCCGCGACCAATCTGTGCACTGACAACACTCCAACCAACTGAGCCACACCGGCCAGGACTGTGGTTTTATTTGTGGCAAACACACACACACACACACACACACACACACACACACACCTATGGACGAGGCAAAAGTTCTAATTGGCCAGTTTATCCTAAAATGCAACAATCCACCAACTTGGAACAGGAACTAAAAGTCAAATCAAGCACTTCCTTCCATTTCGAAGCAACAATTCATGAACATAGAAAATCCACCCATTTCGTAGAATCTGTCAAACTTGCTTATTTGCTATGGTTTCATTTGTATGACTTGTATTCAAGTGTTGCCGAACCAAGACCTTTATCCTGGAATCATGAATTTAGAGGAAAGCAATCGTCATAAAGTTGTTGACTTCTTAAATATAGTTTTATAACCAAGGAGGCACATTCACCAAACACACGCATTTTAAGGGGATAGCAGGTAAATTTGCTAATTGCGATTTTGCTATTGGTATGTGAGTCCTACACTGAGGCCAACACTGGTAACTGAGGAGAGAGGCAGAAATATGGTGAAATGTGGCCTTAGTCCTTCACAAATTGACACGTATGTGAAACTGCTGAGGGGAGACAGTTAAATGATGAAGCTGTTCATATGCTCATATACAGCCCAGGTCATTATACAAAACTTTTTTTTATTGATTTCAGAGATAAAGGAAGAAGAAGAGCTAGAAACATCAATGATGAGAGAGAATCATTGATCGGCTGCCTCCTGCATGCCCCCCCGCTGGGGATCGTGCCCATAACCTGGGCATATGTCCTGACCAGGAATCAAACCATGACCTCCTGGTTCATAGGTGGTTGCTCAAGCACTGAGCCACGCCGGTCGGGCTGTACAAAACTTTTAAAAGATCTTGGGCAACAGAACTGCGTGCGCTCTGCTTTGCCCCCAACCCTTGAATGCATGAATTTAAAAGTGAGGTATTATAATAACCTGCAAGCATGATAATACATATAGTTATACACATGCATTCTTTCCTAGAAATAAATTATAGAAATTAAGATGTCACACAGGAAAACTGTGTTAATTTGTGGTCTCAGTCTTGCATTTACTGCAAAGATGAGCTTTATTTGAAGAACCTGAGTGGGAAAGGACATGGTACAGCTGTGTGAGTTCGTGGCTGATGACGCTAAATGCGGACAGCTTATCTCAGGAAGCAGACTCAATCAAGCATTTCTTTGCAAACTTCCTTAGATATTGCTTCTTTCTGTCACTCGAAGTCCTACACCTACCAGTTTTTTTAAATAAAGACTGTTCGCTATTGAGTTAGCTCCCCGACTATCAGCAGGAACCAGCAAGACCACCGAAAACCACCATGTCCTGGTGTTTATAACAAGGGCGGTGCTTCCGAAACTTCATTCAGTGCCGCAGAGAACAGAGCCGGCGTGGGGCCGTGGGGAGATGACGTCAGAATCGAGGGGAAACTTGCCAGTCTACTCTATCGGCCAGTCCACAGACATTGTTATGCCACTCGGTCATGTCAGCGCTTGTGTGACGGTTCACAGAAGATGTACTTCCTGCGAACTTCAGCAATGGGAGGCTTCAGGGAGATGCCCCCATTAGTCTGTGGTTTCCAATGCCCCTGGGCCCTCTCCCGGGATCCCAGGAGCCTCTGTGGAGGAGGATGTCATTCTAATATTAACTTCAATCTCCGACCGAGGTTTTATTCATCTTTTCCTAAGCAAATATGTTTGTTGTTGTTATTCCATATGTACCCAGCACCTCCCAGATGTCACTGAAAACACACATGTATAAGCCAAGCATTGCCTGTGAGGCGGAGGAAGTGGAATTAATTCCCTTACTTCCCTTTCAATACCGCAGTTGTTCATGCCTAAGTGAGAGGTGTTACAACAGGCAAACGCTGGCAGTATCTCGGGTGCAGTTCTAATGTTCACGAAGCCCGTTCGCTCTAGGCTGTGGCATAACGTGAGCAAGTAACATGCCACACACAGAGGGTAGTCGCTGCTGCGCCTTTATCAGGTGGGGCGCTGGGGGGGGTGGCGCTGTCCTGGGGAGGGTCTCTCACTGCTGACCTCCCGCCCTCAGTGCCCTCCTGAAGGGCCGTCAGGGAAATGCCTTGCCCACCAGGGCCCAGGAGGGAACGTACTTGAGACCAATGTCTGTCCCACGAACCATAAGCCAGCTCACCTTCGCCCAAGGGCCCAGGCTGACTTTCCATCTTCCAGGAGTCCATGGGCTGGCGACCGGCTTCTCCAAATGACGCAGGCGCGCTGCTGGTGGAGGATGCTGTGCTCTGCTTGGGGAGCCCCCAGGACTGCAGGCCGAGCTCTGCTCCCCCAGCTCCGCCAGGCCCGTCCAGCAGGCACTGCATGCAGGGACTCGAGAGGCTGCGGACCAGAGGGGGCGGGCCTTGCTGAGCCCGCCTGCATCGCCACACCTGCGCCTCACCTGGCACACAGGTGATTCCAGGAATGCGGTGGGTCCTGCTGGCTGGTTTCCTCTGCCCTTAAGAGATGCCAGCGCCCGCTGGCTGCGTGGAGGTCTGCAGAGGCCTGAGCTCCTGGGGCAGCAGCTCCTGGGGGGATGGCAGCTCCCTGTTCCCATGGGTCTCACTGCCCGACACCGGGCCCCTCCGAGGGGGTCTCAGGACGGCGCTTGGGGCTCCTCCTCCGAGCTTGGAGATCTTAGGAACCTCAGGGGTCCTGCTGCCCCAGTCCTCGGGCACCTGCTCCCCCAGTTCCTGCCTCTGTGGCTCCCTCGACAGCTGAAGCCCCTACTAAGGAGCCCTCCCATTAAGTTCCCTGTCACCAGGTGGTGGTCCACCTTCCCGGCCAGCCTCTGCCCGGGATGGGGTGGGGCCACCTGGCTCACTGGCCCCTGCACGGTTCTCAGAGAGCCCACGGCCTCGCGTGCCACGGGCACAGTGAGGAGTATGTCTGGCTGCCAGGGGTCTGTCTCGCCTCTGTGCAGAGCGGCACACGCCAGGCAGGAGAGCTGAGCAGTGGCGCTCACCGTGATGGTCACCTTGGACCTGACCTCCTCCTTCTCGGTCAGCTCCGCTGGAAACTGAACTTGGGGGCTCGCAAGCCGAGTATGTCCCCGGAATTCATTTGTTGGCCTTCTAACCCCGAGTATCTCCCAGTGGGTCTGTATCTGGAGAGGGGGCCATTAAAAAGTGGTACAGATAAAACCAGGTCACAGGGTGGCCGTGACCCAGTGTGACTGCGTCCTTATAAGAAGAGAGATGAGGACACGGAGAACGACCATGTGAGGACGCAGGAGAGGACGGCGTCTACACGCCAAGGAGCGAGGCCTCGGGAGGAACCAGCCCCGCCCACACCTCCAGCTTGGACGTCCAGCCTCCAGGACGGGGAGAGAATAAACTGATTTCGTTTAAACTACCTGGTCTGCGGGGCTTCCAATGGGGGGGGGGAGCGAGTGGCGGTCGGGGGGGCCCAGCCTCACTGGAAAGTCAGAGCCTTGCAGGCGACCTTCCCAACATGCAACAAGTCGGAGCTGCAAGGTCAGCTGAAGGAAAGGGTCTGGTGCACACAGGCAGACAAACCCACCTCCCACCGGCACCAGTCAGCTGCCTGACCCTCACCAGGGTGCCTCCGTCCTGCCCAGGCACCTAACTGTGGAGGGAGGGCCTGGCCCGCATGGGAGAAGGGGCCGAGAGCAAGGGGCAGAGTCGCTCCCTGGCTCTCCTCCCCCTCCTGCCCCTCAAGGCGGGTGGTGTCCCTGGCCATCCAGTTTTCCCCACGGCTGGACCACAGGCGGGCACTAGTCCCGCAGCATGGACGACTGCCCCGCTGGTCTGGCATCAGCGAGAAACCTCGCCGTGATAGCGCGTCCCCTTCTATCCCACATCAAAGGGGCTGCCTTCCTGCGTCCGAAGATGTCTTTAGGATCTTTCTGACAATGGGCAGTTTGTCTTTTGCACTTACGTTCCTTTCTGTATGTTGGGATAATCTCATTTCTGGTGAGGTCAGAGCGGGCGGGCCAGGGAGTAAGGCCTGCCTGGGGGACAGGTGCGTCTGTCGTCAAAACCACACCCCGGGGAACAGAAGCGACACTGGCTCTCCTGCCCATTGAGTCAAGGTCTTGAATAAGGTGAATGGGAGAGAGTGTCCCTGGGAATATGGTAAAAATAGGAGCCTGGGGTGCGTGTGCTTGTGTGCGTGTGCGTGTGCATGTGCGTGTGCGTGTATGCATGTGTGTGATTTATGAGAATGTACAAGACTGCA